CTGCTTGCTGACTCATTTTTTAGCAATTGTGCAAGACATGCCAGTATTTGCCACCTTTGTTTAGTCTCTTCTTTTTCAATTCTCCTTTCATCATTTCTTTATCATCTTTGGATACTCTGCCAACTCTTTACTGCCCACAACTTTTGTCTTGCTTACTAAGGTACTCTCTATAGGTCATTGCTAATGAGGTTGGCTCTATTCCATAAAGTATTTACTGAGTATCTAGCATGCACTGAGCATGGCCTGGGGAATATAACAAAAAAATAATGTGGATCATTTTCCTTCCTCAAAAGAGTTTATGATGTCAAAGATGTGTTGCTTCCTGAAGACCCCATTAACTTTGTCTTTTCCCGGGAAGCGTAAAACACCACATGTTGGATGAGATGATTAGCAGTGCTCAGACCTGGGAAATAGTCATGCTTCTGGACCAAGAGCCAGGTAAGTCCTTAATTCTGGTCAGTAGTAGGCCAAAGTCTCAGGTGGGGTTTCCTAACTTTACAAATCTGGTTACCTGCCGTTCTCTGGAAGCCTGAGAATTCCCTATCCCTGCTGTATCCCTATAAATATGCCTTGCAGAAATTCCTTCTTTCTGGCAAAGAAGCACTCTGCATTCTGGAGCAAGTATTAACATCTTCCAAAGGGACGACTCATAAAACTCAGGAAAGATCAGTACCATGGGTGAGGGATTTCTGACCAGGCCTACTATGTGGGAAAGATGGATGAAGGTAATAAACTCTGTGTCGGGAAAAATGTTTTGAGCTGCCCTTGAGTTCATGAAGTGGACCAAATACCTAATATGTATGTGGAACTTTTTCTTTTAGTGTCAAAATATGAAAATGTCTAAGTCACGGGAAGCCAAATTATTATAGCCATATTCTGAAACAGCAAGCAGCCACTCTTAACCATTATATGGATCTCCAGAATCAATTATGTGGATTCCCTTGAGATACTCCACACAGAGGGAAAACATGTCTAGACACATAATTTTGCAAATAACCTTGAAGATGCTCATAGGTCACCTCTCTTCCCATATGAAGAAGTAACACTGCTCTATGTGGTAGCTTCAGAGAAAATAATCTGAACGGTGTAATCTAATCCAGATGAAAGATTTCTTCCCCTCTGGAGCAAAATATAAGCTCTTTTGTAAACCTTGTTCTGCCACAAAGACTGCAATGAAAGCCTACTCAGTAAAGTCTCGGCAGATAATTTTTAGTTCAGAGTCTCTGTGAGATTATTCTAAATGTAAAACAACTGTCAGCTACTATGGTTAGTCATTTACTTTTTCATTATCCTAATGTGTTTGAGTTGTGAAAAATAAAAACAGTCATGTTAATACAAACCTACACACTGAAGAATAGATAGAGATAGATATAGGTGCTCAGGAAGAAGCAGTAGATGGTAATAGATTAGAAAGCATGCTTTGGAAATAGAAGACATTTTTATTTATTACTTTCCTCACTTGACAGGCAAAACTTTGGCAGTTTTGCAGAATTTTGATAGAATAAGTCTATGCTGTTTTAGTTAAAAATGGAAATGAAAATACATTTTGTCTATATGGAAGCAATTTTTTTGGTATAATTATCATTAGTTTTCAAGCTTCGCAGGCTAGGCTGTGCTATGTGGAAGTTTTTTGAGAGGATGGTATGTTCTGGGCAGCGTGCTGGGATCTTTACGTCTGTTGACACTAAACCACAGTTTACTCACTTGTACAATGACAGTGACACTAGGGTCCCTACAGTGCTATTTTGAAGGATGGAAGAACCAGAAAAGAAGTCTAATTCTTGTTGTTTTCAATCAGTTGTTTTTAAGTTGTCTATCATTTATGCTTAGAGGGACCTTTGTGGTATATCTGAATTCTGTATTCCTCTATGTTCACTATGATTTGTATCCCTTTAATCCAGGAACTAGAAACAAGGCTAGGAATCTGGGACCAATTCCTTGATAGAGAAAAAGGGTTCTTGGTATTTTACACAACTAGATGGTCTAAATTAAACAATTTCTTGATTTTGCTAGACTCAAAACTCTTGCCATGGCCTGTAAGCATCTGTGTGATCTGGCCCCGCCGACTCCCCAACTGTCCCGTCCCCTATCTCTTCATGTTTCAGCCACACTGCCTGCTTTCTGAGTTCCCCCCATAAGGCAAGCTTCTTCCCATCTTAGGACCTTGGTTACTTTTCCCTTGATTCTTTGCTTTGCTAATTCTTTCCCATCATTTAATTTACCTGTTCGAACGTCACCTATTAGCAGAGACATACTGGGGCCACTGTCTGTGTAAAGTAGCACCTTCTATTCAGTAATGTCTCACCTTACTGTGTTTCCTTCATGAAATTTATGACTATCCGAAATTACGTTTTGTCCACATGTATTGCCTGTCTTCTCCCTCTAAAGTACAATTTGCATTAGAGTCAGGACCTTGTTGGGGAGCCAGTGATAACAATAACTTGTTATTTACTAGGTATCAATAACAACATGTTGAATGAATGAACGGGGTTTTGTCTCATGCTGAGATTACATGAGGAAAACCAGATTTTTGGCTTGTGATACCAAACTGGTGATTTGTTCATAATAATAAGTGTTTACTTAGTAAAAATTGGCAAAATTCCACGTGCATAGCTAATTAGTTTAAATGCTTTGTAGGTATTAATTTAATTCCTACAACCGTATGAAGTGGGAATTATTATGACTCCCATTTATAGATGCAAAAATTGTGGTACAGGGAAGTTAAGTAACTTGCACCAAATAGCAGTTTTGGATGCAGGTATTTGAGCCAATGCCCTTTAGTATTGAGGAAAAAGTGCTCAATAAATAGAGCTTTAACCATGTGCTCAGCATATGTGCTCAGCTCAGTGACTCAGTGCATGCAAACTATGTGCTTAGTGCCTATACACTGGGTCGTTTTCAGTCCTCACTTCAAAACTATGAGGTAAGTACTATCCTATGCTTGTTTTAGAGATGAGGAAGCCAAGGCTTGGATTTCTTCAGCAGCTTGCCTAAGGTCCCCTAGTTGCTTAGTGGTGAAAAAGAGATTTGAATATAGACAACATGACACTGAAATCTGTGTCTTAGGCCTTGTCTCCATATCACAAGAACACCTGTGGATAGCTACTAGAACACAGTTATTATGAGATTGTGAAAAAGGGATTAGTCTCCCCCACTCAAGGGGTCTCCACTGGTATAAAGAAGAGGTATAATAATGACTATGGAACAGACCAACTCAGATAAATGAATAGGAGAAGCAGAATTTGTATCAGTGTAACCACTTGACTGTAAGGGATAATATTGTTTGCTAACTGTCCATTTCTTCAGAAAGAGCATAAGAATAGAATTTGGAAATCCAATAACTGAAGGTCAATCTTGGTTTCTAAAATGAATCAGGAAAGAATTATATATATTTTTATATCTCACTAGGTATGATTATGTACATGAGCTATAATGCCATGTAGAAAGTTTAGCTATTGTTTTTTTGAAACCTACTCATGAAATTTTTTGTTGTTGTTTTATAACTCGAAGTACTTTCTTAGCAACTCAGTTCTATCAGTGGCAACACCATCAATAGGGATGAAAGGATGTTGTGGCTACATATTGTCTAATAATTCAGTTCCCTCCTCATAGGCAGACATATTACGACACATGCAAAATCAGAATACCCACAATCAGAGAGGGAAGAAAATTCCTAGAATCTATGCATTCTTGCTCTGGCTTCAGACAAAATGTGCATGTGAAGGATTACGCCTGCATATGCAGGGATCAAACATTTTTCCTTTGGAAAAATCCCTAAACCCACTGAAACCAGCTCATTCAGCAAGAAGGAGTTCAGCCAATATTATTGAACTCTAGTATTCCAATATTTTCACAGAACTTTTTTGATGAGTTATGTACACAATCCTATGTGATCCTTTCTTCACCTATATTCTGATGCTCACATTTACCTAAATATGTGGGCAGTGTAGGTATTAATAAGCCACTTTACAGATGAAGAAATTGAGGTTAATAGAGTTTAAAGAGCTTGCCCAAGGTCAGGCAGCTAATAAATAGCAGGGCCGGCACCTGAACCAAAGTCTCTGCGTTCCAAGTTACACACTTTTTCTGCGGCCCACACCTCCCCCTTGTCAATGGAAACCTGTCAGTGGTGACATTATAAATTTTCTTGGTACCAGGTCAGTTGCTGGGGGAGTAGAGCCAGGGGTGTAAGACGTCATATCTTTTACTTAGTGCTAATGTTCATGCCTGTCATTTCGTGGGTTCTTTTCCCTGTCTACTTAAAGTCTATATAAATGTAATGAGTAGTATTGTGGACCAGGACTAATATTATATGATTGTCAGCTTTTCAGATAACTTTTCTTCTGTTTCCTCTAGAACCTCCTGGCAGCTTCTGATGCCCAAGGTGACAGAAACAGAAGGGGCTGGCAGTTCACAACCACTCTTGTTTCTCTTCTTAGTATCTGTGCGCTCTGGGATCTGGTGGAGATTTTATTTCTCAAACTCCTTGTCCTTTCCCCTGCTGTCCTTCTCACTGCTCCCACTTTTATTGTTTCTTCCAGGTTTTGAAAGAGTCACAAATTTATCAAATATAAATATTTACTCAGGGAATGGAACTGACAGATAGGTGGTCCAGTGACTTTGGCTTAACTTGCCTCAGAACCACGGTTAATTTAAGAGATCTGGTGATTCAGCAAGAGGAAACCAGCTAGCCTCAGGCACTGAGGGAACGGGGTGCAGCCAGGCCAGCTCCGGCTGCTTGTTCTTTCTGAACTCAAAAGGCCATTGAGTGTTCTGCTAAAGCCCACCTGGCTAGAGCAGAGACCTGACCAGTAGAAGGCGGTCATTACTTACTTTTCATCTGATCAAAAATAATGCAGTTTACTCACAGGTCCTGGCCCTACAAACAGGTAGATGGTTGGATATATTTGGATAATGGAGCTTTCCAAACAGAAGCAAAACACTCACCCATTGATGTGTAAAATGTAAAGAAACTGACCCAGCGTGTCTTTTCACCGCAGATAGAAGAGTTTGGACCACCCAGCACACAAGGTCAGCATGCTGCTCCTCTGTCACACTCTGGCTATAGCTGTTGTCCAGATCATTATCTTCTCCGAAAGCTGGGCATTTGCCAAGAATATCAACTTCTATAATGTGAGGCCTCCTCTCGATCGTAAGTAGTGGTGGTTGCCATCCTAGTTCATGGCTGTGGGGTCACAGTGTTCATATGAAGCCTCCTTTTCCATTTATTGTAACCTCGTCTTTCTCAGAACGTTTGGTTTATACCTAGAATAAAACAGAAAGTTTCCATAACTTCCGTGGTTCATTATATGGTAAGAGAAATTTTCTCCATTTCTTTCTTTTTTCTTTTTTTTTTTGAGATGAAGTCTCGCTCTGTCCCCTAGGCTGGAATGCAGTGGCGTGATCTCAGCTCACTGCAACCTCTGCCTCCTGGATTCAAATGATTCTCCTGCCTCAGCCTCCTGAGTAGCTGGGACTACAGGTGCATATCACCATGCCTGGCTAATTTTTTGTATTTTTAGTAGAGATGGGGTTTTACCTTGTTAGCCAGGATGGCCTTGATCTCTTGACCTCATGATCCATCTACCTCAGCCTCACAAAATGCTGGGATTATAGGCGTGAGCCACCGCACCTGGCTGAGAAATTTTCACCATTTCTTTAAAATGGTCTGTCTTCCTGCTGAAGTTTTAAAAGCATTCTTGTTTTTAAAAAAAGCTTTTGAACACCGTTCCTAATCATGGCATAGTAGAGGAAATTTATTGTTTTTTCTCTATGTCTTCACTGGAGAAGAAAATTGGCTGTTGAATGTTTCTGCATGATTTATTAATTCTTTCAAATGGCCAGGTTTGAAAACAGGTTTGTATGTTTGAAATTTGGAAGGAAATATCACCTGATTTTCTTTCTTTCTTTCTTTTTATTATACTTTAAGTTCTGGGGTACATGTGCAGACTGTGCAGAATTGTTACATAGGTATACACATGTCATGGTGGTTTGCTACATCCATCCCCCCGTCATCTACATTAGGTATTTCTCTTAATGTTATCCCTCCCCAATCCCTGCTATCCCTCCCCTAACCCCTGCCTACCCACCAACAGGCCCCAGTGTATGATGTTCCCCTCCCTGTGTCCATGTGTTCTCATTGTTCAATACCCACTTATGGGTGAGAACATGCAGTGTTTGGTTTTCTGTTCTTGTGTCAATTTGCTGAGAATGATGGTTTCTAGCTTCATGCATGTCCCTGCAAAAAACATGAACTCATCCTTTTTTATGGCTGCATAGTATTCCATGGTATATATGTGCCACATTTTCTTTATTCAGTCTATCATTGATGGGCATTTGGTTGGGCATTATGCATTGTGGCCCTGTTTACAATAGCAAAGACTTGGAACCAACCCAAATGCCAGTGTCTTTAGAAATGTCACCTGGATTTTCATTACTACCATGCATAACCCCATTAGCAAAGGTTACATAAGACTCAACTTTTCTACTAATAGTTTAAAGATAGGCAAATATTGGTGTATATCATCAACAGGATATGTATGTTAATACGTTTTATGTACATATGTATAGATATGTGTTTGTATACATATGTCATCACCCCTCCATTCTTTCCAGACAAATAAAACTTCTTTGTTATACTTTATCAGAGAGTGATTCTTATAAATAAAAATTTTTTTGGTATACAGGTGAATGTCTGTAGTTCCCATACCTGGAAGAGTCTCAGAATCATGATGAAAGGCTTTTTAACTGCATATCCCTAATCACTTCTCCAGAGATTTAATAGTCAAGAGGGTGATATGTAGAATATATTTATGTCTTTTATCTTTTTTACCTGCTTTTTTTTGTTTAAGGAGCTCTCTGATACTGTTGATACATAGTCAGGTATAAAAACCTTCTCTCCTTATACTACTCCTAGATGCGATCCCTATAACTACTGTTCTTTACGTTGTGTTTTATTATTTGGGATGGTCATCTCTGTGTGCATACACATGTATACTACACACATGTACATATACATACATATACTACACATACGCACCTTGAACTACCATTATACATTTCTAAATTGGTAATAATTATATACTGATAGCTGAAAGACATGGCACAGACATCATTTTCATAGACTCTAACTTATCTACAAATTTTGAAATTTTTAAGCTTAGCACAATCTGTTGATGAGAAAAAATCATTTTAAAAAAGAAAAAAAGTAATACATGCTCATTATAGAAAATTCCAAAGAGACAGAAAATGATAGAAGAAAGTAAAATATATTCATAACCTAAAGATTCACAGGAGCTTTTCTTTACATTTTGAAATATTTCCTTCCAGCATTTTTTTTCTATGTATGTGTAGTTAAATATGTGATATACTGAGATCTTACAATTTTAGTTTTACACTACTTTTCCCCTCTTTACACATATTTTGAATATTTCCCAATGTCTTTGAAGATAGTTTAATGCCTTCTGCGTTTAAAAAATCATAAGGCTGGTCTGTAGCTTATTCCACTATTCCCCTATACTTTATATCAGAAAGAAAAAAAGTCACAAGCAAATTAAATGTTAAATAATTCTTCATTGAAAATATTTTAAAATACACTTTTCCCTTCAATTGGCTAATGACCTTAGAATAGATTTCCTGGAATTGGAATTGAATTACTAAATCAAAAAGATTGTGCCAATTTATAATTTAACCATTTACCTACCAGCACTGACTATTAGTATTTTTCAACTGTACTGATTTATTTGGTGAAAATGGATGTCGTTATTTATTTATTTACCTGCTAATACACTTCTGAACATAAGCAAACTTAAATATATTCTTAATATTTAACTTCTTGTCCTCCAAACTTCAGCTTTTAATATTTTTGTTGTTTTATGCTACCATACATATCCTCCCCTTTATCTGAAATACCCACTGCTTTCTGATTTTTCACCCGAACTTCTAGTTATATTAGTAGGATGGTTACCATCTTTGTAATAGAACAAAGAGAATGAAACAGTTTCTTTGTCTGTTTCATTCTCTGAAAATGGGAGAATTGAAAGTTTTACACAGCATCCTATACCTGGTCTATACAGAACTGTCAAATTATTTGATTTTTTTCTTCTTGTCCACTAAAATTACAAGATACAAGGCAAAAAAAAAATCATAAAAACAAGAAGAACATACTAGTTGCTCGCAGTCCAGACTGCCAGCAACTCAGATATACCTCTTTCTGTAACAATCTGTCCTAATTGTAAGGGCTTAAGAATTACTGTCATCCTCATATTAAATGTTGTATTCCTGGCCAAGGTCTAACTTTGTGATAATTGTCATTTATCAGATGAGATGACTTGTTTGAGGTTAAAGGCAGCTGTAATGGAAGTGCATATGGACAGAAACCAGCATGATGTACTAGAGATTCTACAAAATATTTTTATTGCAACCTCCCATTTAATCCTCATTATACCTCTGCAAGTCATGGAGATCTTCATTGTTATTAATATAAATGTTATTATATCTTAGAATTAAAAAAAATCACACAACTATTCTGTGGGACGAACAGAATTCAAACTCAGGTTAATCTGACTCGAGTTCTTTTCAGGGATGACACATGTTCCAAATACCTCTGCCGCCCTGGATCACCTCTTCAACCCCTACTTATTCCCAAATTATAAATGATAATAGAACAATACTATGCATCTTTCAAAGCAGCTGTGAGATCACTTTCATTACTCTATAGTGGTAATTTTTAGAAAAAATATTTAAACAAAAGGGAATAAAGAAAATTCCCCAAAAGCCTGATGGATAAATCTAGCTCCCTAGAAACAGAGATTGTAAGGATAAAAGCTTACAAGTTTTGCTTCATCTGTTAAAAGTTGCTAATTTTGTGTCATATTCAATGTTTGAAATTTTTGTCTTCTGTAACTTACTGTTTCACTTTGCTTTTTTCTTTAAAGCTACACCATTTCCAAATAGCTTCAAGTGCTTTACTTGTGAAAATGCAGGGGATAATTATAACTGCAATCGATGGGCAGAAGACAAATGGTGTCCACAAAGTAAGTGTGCTGAGTTTGGAAGGCTTCTGTGTTCTCATTTCATTTGGATCTCTCCTGACTTGACAATGTTCTTTAGGAATCAGATATTTTTTTTTTTCTGAGACTATCCTGACATCAGACTATATTGAGAGTTCTTGGAAACTGGTATCAAAGCCTCAGTTTGAAGTTGAATGCCTTAAGGAAGAATTTCTTAAATGTTAGTTACCAGGGAGAGCACATAGAACCACAATATTGATTAAGGCATTCTCAGAATTTCAGAAATGCTTGATGATACCTCTAGAAAAGTAATACCATCTCAAAACAAAGGATAATTTCCGTAGTCTTGAGATACATTGATATTTAGGAAACTCATTCATTCATTTAACAAACTTCCAAGTATCTTTTTAGTTTGTTTAGTTTACTGATATATCCCAGTGCCTAATCCAGTGCCTGGCCCATGTTTACTCAGTAAATATTTGCTGACAGAATGAATGGAAACCTCTGATTAGATAGTCAGGATAGTCAGAGAAATATTCCCTGAGGAGTGTACCTTAGAACTAAGACCTGAGTAAACACAGCAAGCTGCCATCTATAGGAAGAAGATGCCAGGAAGAGGGAGTCGCAAATGCAGAGTTTTCAAGAGTGATAGTTGACTTGGCCTCTTCAATGAACAGGAAGGAGAGTGACTGCAGAGGCTTAGTGGGAGATGGAGGAAGGATGTGAGAGGGAAGCAGGGGCCAGGACACGCAGGAGCTTATTTTTTCGATAGTTTGGATTTTGTTGTAAAGGTGATGAGAAGGTGGTAGAGAGTTTTAAGCTAAGGAATACATAGCAGTTGTGTTCTAAAACATTACTCTGGCTGATGTGTGGAGAATGGAGGGTTGGGGACAAGAGTAGAAGGGAACCCAAATGAGGACTCTTGTCTTCAGACAGAAGATGAGAATTTGGACTAGGTTGGTAGGAGCAGAGGAGGTGGAGAGACGAATGATTGAATGTATACAGACTGGAAGTAAAGCAGACAGACTGTGCTGATCGATGATTTTAAATGTTAAAATCCTACTTATGAGGAGATCCGGTTGTTCAGATTTTAGGATGTACTGTTTTTTAGGTTTTTCAGATATAAAAGACCAAGAAAAACAAACTGTTACAGAATTAGAGATAACTAGTTCTAATCTACTGTTATCATGAATCTTTTGGAAATTCCAATACCACATTATTTACAGCAGCGGCTCAGCCTTACCTCTTCCAGTTAAAGGCAACGTGTGGAGCCAATAAATACTACACACTGGAGACCTCTACTGTGCCCGAGATTCTTATGCCATAAATTAGCACAAATGGCGGTGACAGCCATAAGGACAGTGTTGTTTTTTTTTTTTATTTTCAAGAATAATTAATTACCAAAATATGTTTTTCTTGAGATTCTTTTACATTTCTATTGAGGGATCGTCCTTAAATTGCGAGTGCGCTTATGAGTGTATGTGTATGTATGATTGTGTTTATTTGGGGATTTATGTCTACATTTTCAAGAGAAATTTATCTTCGTTATTTCAAGGTTTTCAAGCTTTGTTGATGTTTCTCTTTACTAATTTATTTCAGAGAGTATCATCCTTTAACAAGTTGCTTTACGTTGCCTTGAAAACTGGGTGGCAAGAGTGAGAACAGTAGTAAACTGTGGGACTGATGTCCAACTTGTTAGGCCTTATCTTCATGAATCATGCTATTGTTCTGAATCGTACCCAAACACTGTTCCTACTAGGCTTATGCCTAATGCTCCAATTTGTCGTTAGTTGACCAAAGCCATTTTAGCATGCAGGCAAAGAAGACGCATGGCTGTTTCTGGGTTTTAGGATTTCTTCTCTGTTGAAACATGGCTGACCCAAAGGAGAAACTGCAGCTTTCCACTACCAAGAAAACATCAGAGATGGGAAGGGTGGAAGAGAGTCAGCTTTGCTGCATCTACCTGAGAGGCTGATTCTTAATGGGCTCAATACAGAATGTCCCTGCATTCCAGCATGGCATGAAATGATGTTCTTGACTGTAGACGGGCAGGTCCCAAAGATACTAACCACCTGGAATTCTAATTGAGGGTGTAATTTCTTACTTTTCACTTTGTCATTTCGGGGAGTGATAGTCAACCATTTCTTGGGAAAAATAGGCCTAGGGCTATTGTTCTTTGTCATCTCAGGTTTCCTTTTCACTTCACAGCTTCACTTCTGTGCCCTGTCGGTCTTGTTAAAAGTTCTCTGTGTGACAGGATATGACAAGAATGACATTTCTTGTTTTATTTACCTTGGCTTTTATGCTGACATTTTAGGGCTGCCTTAGCATATGTGCCATTCTGTAAGAACACATGCAGCTACCAGTTTTTGATTCTTCTTTGTTTGGAGTAAAAATTGAAATGTTTTCTCCCGAATTTTAGTGGCTCCCTTTCTTTCTGAATCTGGAAGTCACCTACTCTTGTAGGGCACTCTACATTATATCACTGTTTTAGTCCCTTCTTGCATTACTATAAAGAAACACCTGAGACTGAGTCATTTATGAAGGAAAGAGATTTAATTGGCTGACAGTTCCATAGGCTGTACAGAAAGCATGATGCTGGCCTCTCCTTGGCTTCTGGGGAGGGCTCAGGAAACTTACAATCGTGGTGGAAGACAAAGCGGAATGAGGCCCCTCACATGGTCGTTGCAGGAGTAAGAAAGAGAGGGAGGAGGTGCTACATAGTTTTAGACAAGCAGATCTCGTGAGATCTCACTATCACAAGAACAGCACTAAGAGGATGGTGCTAAACCATTCATGAAGGATCCACTCCCATGATTTAATCACCTCCCCTCTCCGACACTGGGGCTCACAATTTGATATGAGATTTGGGTGGGGATGTAGATTCAAACTGTATCAATTGCCGAATGGTTTAATATTAAGTGTACTGAGGGGTGGAATAATGTTCTGGTTAAGAGTGCAAGCCCTAGAAAACCTCCTGGGCTTTCACTGTTTTCTTCCTATGGGCAAGAAATTGTCCTCAGTTTACCTGTAAAATGAGGATTTTAATATAGCTTACTTTAAGACATGATGAGGATTGAATGCTTGAATATGAGTTAGAAGAAAGAGTACCTGGCTACTGGTGCACACGCAATATAGGCTTGCTACTGTTCATATTATTTAAAGCACACAACAACCCTATCAAAGCATCAAGGTACTTATTATCTATCATCATTTTACTAAAAAACAAAAAATGAGCTCAGAAGATCTAACATGACTTTCTCACCTGTGACAAAGGCAGTTCCATAAACCCAGCCTTCTCAACTTTCATCCAATTTTTCCCCCATTCTGTGACATTGCTGTTGTAATCTCTGATCAATAAACTAAGAAGCATTTCACTGTCCTCTGGTACCTATGAAAGAGACACAGAACCAAAGAAGAATGTCCTAGAACATTGAATGAAACTTTTTTTTTTTTTTTTTGAGACGGAGTTTCGCTCTTGTTACCCAGGCTGGAGTGCAATGGCGCGATCTCAGCTCACCGCAACCTCCGCCTCCTGGGTTCAGGCAATCCTCCTGCCTCAGCCTCCTGAGTAGCTGGGATTACAGGCATGCACCACCATGCCCAGCTAATTTTTTGTAGTTTTAGTAGAGACGGGGTTTCACCATGTTGACCAGGATGGTCTCGATCTCTTGACCTCGTGATCCACCCGCCTCGGCCTCCCAAAGTGCTGGGATTACAGGCTTGAGCCACCACGCCCGGCGAAACTTCTTGAAAGAACCCAAAGTAATAAAATGTGAGTGGTTAAAGCCTTAAGGATAACTCTGGGTAGAAATGGGGTACTATAGTTATAATGAGAAGGAGGTGTGGTAGGTGGGAAACAGAGAAAGTAAGGGCTAATTAAAGAGGAGGAGAAAAAATGGAAATGCACTGATGAGAAAAGTCTAACATGTTGGTAGAATTAAAACCAGAATAGAAATTATTAGGTTGGTGCAAAATTAATTACAGGTTTTGCAATTTAATAGATGAGTGAGGAAGGTGATCATGATGTGTAATTCGAAGCATCTGCTTTTCACTCCAGCTTACCACATGGCCTATTAGTATATAAGAGAAAAATGATGAATAATGCAACAAGTGTTCTGACCCCATTGCATTTTACCTTCACAATTGTCATTTTATTTTAGAATCCGAGAACGAGCTTCAGGAGAAGAAAGAGAGAGCCAGAGACATAAATATTTTCATATCAAACGAGCAGACCCATGTTTTGATAATGTGCTTGCAGTTTTTCATTAGCTCTGACACCACAGGATGAGTGCCCATTTACATTCATTTTCAAAACACACATGTGCTTCAGAAGCTGGTGTCTTTTCAAAAATACCACCTAAGAACCTTAAGAGTTCACTGCTATGAAATGTCTCACCCAGAAACCTCAGGACCATCCTGAATTTGAGTCCTTTCTGCAATCGTCATTGAGAGGTCTCTTTTGTAATGTGGATAATGAAATTGCCTTTTGGTTTTTTTTGTTTGTTTCCTCTTGCCTAGATACACAGTACTGTTTGACAGTTCATCACTTCACCAGCCACGGAAGAAGCACATCCATCACCAAAAAGTGTGCTTCTAGAAGTGAATGTCATTTTGTCGGTTGCCACCACAGCCGAGATTCTGAACATACGGTAAGGATCGTGTGTGTGTGTGTGTGTGTGTGTGCGCGTGTTATTCTCTGAACATTCTTGCTAGTAATGGTAAGTCATAGATCACGGGAGAGGCAGGAAGGAGAAGTAATATGTTGACCATGTTTACATTTTGAGGAAAGACTCCATAACAAAGATAAAATAGAGACAAAAGAACAGTTGAAGACTTTCTCTCCTTCAACAAAAAATAATGTTACTACAAACACATGGCATTTCCCAGACTCCAGAGCTAGACCTTAGACCTCAGACTGTGGATGAACGGTGTAAAGCCAACTCTGGTGTCACGAGAGCAAACCATTCACAAGAAAATGGTGACCCTTACAGGGTCCAGCTCACCTGCTCTGTTCGTGGCCAGGAGTCACCAAGAACGCTGCAAGGGTACCCTGGAAGGTGGCGAGAGGACTATGGTGACAGCATTTCTGAAGGGAACCTTGTGTTATCCACTGTCTGTGCTTAGATGAGGAAGGGAGTCTGAAGGATTAGCCTCAGTTTAATATGATGAACTATAGGTGCCTTTTAGATCAATTGATTGCTTTAACATTCTCATTCTATCATTCTAAACGAGCATTTCACTCCTTTATATGCCTGGAATTCCGAAATGCTTGAGAAAAAATTACTCGAAAGTATATTCATTTCATGAGGTTTTAGAATTTGATTTACCCTGTAAGTACAGAAAATGATTATTTTATCAGTAGCTTTTAGCTCTAGCTACACGAGAATCACCTCGGTAACTTTTACAAGCTCTGCTTGTTATTGAGGGATGCAGGCCGTCAGGCTTTCCAGACCAGTTGAAACAGAACCTCAGAGTAGGGTCCTGGATGTCAGGATCTTTTTAAAAAGTTCCCTGAGGTGATTCTGATGTGCAGCCAGGGTTGAGAACCACTGATATGGATACCTAGAATTGATGCCTTTATCGTACCTAGCCATCCTGGAAGCCTCTACGAATGGCTGGGTTTATCAGGTTCAGGCATTGTACTTGGCACACTTTGGTATTACCTGAAAACATTCCCTGGAAACACCTGTTAAGGACAAGCCTTTTTTTTTTCTTACACCACTCAGCAACCATAATTAGCAAACCACTGCTACTTTAATGATAAGAATCAGGTGTCAGCATAGACAATAGAGAGTCATTATTATCCGCTAACAAGTAGCACTGAGAAAGAAAATCAATGACTAATTCAAAAGGTTCCTAGCTTTCGGTTTTGCCTCAGTGTTTTCCCTCACAAACCTTTAGAAGATTTGTGGACTCAATCAAACAGACTTATTCAGTTTCTCTTCCTCTTTGCCTTGCTAATGCTTGGGTTTGATGCGGAGAAATCACAGAAGACTCTCAGCATGGTTTTTCCCTTCCACTCCATTGGCATTGGTGGGGGAAGGGTACCCAAGAGCCTAGAGGATGCAAAATTGGATAATCAACTCCAATTGTCTGTCTTCAGATGGGGCTGAAGAAGCTTTCTTTTATCTTCCTTTCTTTTGCCCCTTCCCTGTTCCAATTATTCACTGTCCGTTCCTCTCTCCTTTTTGTAACAGGAGTGTAGGTCTTGCTGTGAAGGAATGATCTGCAATGTGGAACTACCCACCAATCACACTAATGCAGTGTTTGCCGTCATGCACGCTCAGAGAACATCTGGCAGCAGTGCACCCACACCCTACCTACCAGTGCTCGCTGGGGTCTTTGTGCTTCCATTGCTATGATGCCACCATTCCTAGGAGAGGCAGAGACCAGCCTCTAACGTGCAAGCCAAAAACTGTGCGAATGGTGAACTTTGGAGAGAAGATCAGTCTTGCACTTGGTGAAGAGTGCACATTGGACCCCAAGGCAAAAGCCAGTGGTTTTCTTTGCTAAAATGTTCCCACATGAGGCCACAGGATTGAGGATGGGAGTTTGGCGGGGCCTGAGAAGATGGTCTGACTTCCAGGCTTCCTGGTCAAAGGGAGCTAGAGGATCCTGGCAACTAGTCCCACCTGGCTAGGCCTTTAGCTGAAAGGATTTCTTGACCTCCTTGGCTCCCTCAGAGGCTGCCAGGTCAAACCCTCTTGTTTATGTGATTAGCTCAGAGCATCTCTGTGAAATCTAACCCTCCCCCTCACGAGCAAGCCATTTTCCCCACCAACAGCATAGTCAATGAGAAAGGCAACTGTACGAAGAAAACTTTCAGTTGAATGAGTATGAAATCTATTTGCTAATTGTGGGGGGAAATAAAGCTTCTAAATTATACAATGTAAACACATGCTTGTGTGTTTCTTGACCAATGTGGAGACCGCTGGTGAAACAATTACCAGGGTTGTAAAGTACGTCACTGACGTTTGTATCCATGCACCTTTGGTGATATGTGTTAAACTGTAAAATACTATGCTAAAGTTACTTACCTTTTTTTCTTTTGGAGGAAGGATGCATTTTAAGATGCTAAAGCAAACTTAGTGAATTGAGAATGTCTGGAAAACCTCCCTAACAAAGGAAGATGACACCTGGTCATATGATGCACCCTGAGCAGTAGGTACAAAAGCTCTAGTCAGACCAAGTGGCAAGGTGGTCGTGGTGGGGGGGTGCCCCTTTTCCTCCTTCAGCCATATTCTGTATGCATGCCATGTTTACCAAGAGAACTTCTGTAAACACATGCTAAAATGTTTGGTCCCATTCTCTTCTCTTTCCACTTATAATGCAATCTCAGAATTTCAAATGAGCATCTTCCTCCCTTTTCTAGAATTCTGATTTCCTGCCTTCAGTCACACTTCAGGATGACCTTTAAACACTCCGCCCTTGTATTTATAGTGATGAGTTAATGGAATGGGGTTTTCTCTTAATTAAATATCCATTATTAGAATGTTGGGTGCCCTGTAGACTCTATTAATGAGGCTATCCTTGACACATAGGCTCACCTGTGACATGAGTTGGCAAATTATGGCCCACAGGCCAAATACATTCCACCACCCATTTTTGTGAATAAGTTTTTATTAAAACACAGCCATAGCCACTTGTTTATGTATTGTGTCTACTTTTGTGCTACAATGGCAGGGTTGCAGAGATGCAGCAGAGACTGTACAGTCTGCAAAGTCTAAAAGCTTTACCATCTTACCCTTTTCAGGAAGTTTGCTGACCCCTAACCTGTGGGATGGCAAGACTGCTTAAGGAGAAAGCTGCTTTATTTGCAGGGACCATGGTGCTAATCATGGTTACTCAGCCTGAGCAATGGTTTGCCAGATCACTTCCCTTGTTTTCTTTGTCTTCTGAGTCAGTGAATGTTTCTTCTGTTTTGATTGTTTCATGTAGTTGATTCCATCTTAGTAGTTATGTACTGATGTCAGGGGCTGAGCTGTGTTTATGTTTCTTCTCATTCTTGACGCACAGGGAGCATTTCATCTTAAGGCTCTTTAGCGTCCTATCAAACAGGGAGGGAGCAGACATCATTACCTCCCTGTCTCTGGCCCAAACTTGGACTCACCTGGAAGCATGGGTTTTGAAGCCTAATGTAAATTTATCCCATCTTTCACTCAGCACCTTGAAGTATTTGCGTTTTCATAGCTTATACTTGTTTGAAATTAATTATATATGGCTTCACTTGGAAATTTTAACAGCATCTTTGGCATCTTTTTATTCCCCAGGGTTTCTTTTGACTGTGTAATTGACAAATTGTCTGGTAGAAAACCATTAGCCGACAGCACTTTTTTCCCCCTGATTTTGTTTCTGCTGTACAGATTAATGAGTTTCTTTTGTGCGTGTTTTTTTCTTTCCTGAGGAAATATCTTAATTTTCTCTTCTTCACCCTGAACATCAAGTTCATATGGGTTTTATGTCTCACCTCCACTCTCTTAAGCTTTTAAAATTGAGGTATGTTGAGCAAAGGAGGGAGTGCAGAGGAAACAAACTCCTGGCAAAGGCAGCTGAGAGAACAGGGGGTTAGAAATAAAAATATAGGATGCTCCATCAGATTTGAATTTCAGATAAGATCAAATAATTTTTTGGGTAAGTTATTCATGAAATCACAAGACTAGCTCATGTAAGGAAATGGTTTCAAATCCTTGTAATAAATCCGAATCTTCTGAGTAACTCCAAAACAAAACAGATTCCCAGGGCATTCTGGAGATATTGATTCAGTAGCTCCGAGATGAAACTCAAGCCTACCCCCCATATCTGAAAGTTAAATTTAAACAAACAAAAGCTCTCAGGTGATTATAATGCTCCTCCAGGTGTTACCTCTGACCGGAGAGGATCATTCCTTCTTCTGAAGCCTGGTCCTTGGCCACATAATAGATATGCTAATGAGTAACAAACTCATGCCAAGCAACCTCAGTTACAGGCATGGCTCTAAAAGTGTGGCCCCACTGCAGCAACATCAGCATCACCTGGTAACTTGTTAGAAATGCAAATGTCAGACTCCACCTCAGACCTATTAAATCAGAAACTCTGCTGGTTCAACCTGTTACTTAACAAGGCCTCCAGGTGCTTCTGATGCATGTGCAAGTTTAAGAAGCCCTGGACCAGATAGAAGTCCTCCCTAAACGTCTTCAGTAAATGTGTCCCTGGTATCTGCATGATCGCTTGGGGGAGCTTGTAAAAAAATAAAAGAAAATCAGGCTCCTGGACCCCCACTTCACAAAGCAGATTCTTTATGTCTGCATTGAGTCAAAAAAATGTGTAGTTTTAAAAAGAATTCCTCAAGTGATTCAGAAACACATCCACTTTGGGAGCCACCAAAGGAAAGAATAAAAGATGGAGGCAATGTTAATGATCAGAAGGCCCAGACTCCAACACCTGTCCTTTGAGTTCTCACCTGAAAGCCCTATGCACTTTAAGTTGAATCTGTAGTATCTTCAATGTAATTTAAAAGTTAGAATGCAAAAAATAAATTCAATCATTAGAGTCCATTGCGTAGATGTTTAAAGTCCATTGCATAGGGACCTGGAATGGCCAACATCCCAGGTCTCAGATATTTAATTTGCCTCTAGTGAGTAAAAAAATGAGACATACTTTGGAGTCAAAATGTGAATGAGATTTGTAGTAGGGGAGTGAGGAAAGAAGGGGAACATGTAGATTTGTTAGTATAAAAGAGACAAGGGGATTAGCTATGAATATGAGGAGGATCTGAGGGGATGACCTGTCAAAGGTCCACTTTGAATAGATCTACATTCTACAATAAACTTGGAATTCCATCCATCAATCATTCTTTGAAAAAAAAAGTTACCTAACACGTTTTCCCTGCCCATGTGTAAACTCTCCCTAAATTCAACTCTGAGTGAAAGCAGTCAGCAATTATTGGCATTACTTTCCATACAATCTGCATTCTGTCATGTCAATCACTGGGTAAAATATATTTCATAAGAAAAAGAAAGAAGGTGAAAGTGGGTTGGTTTGTCTTTCTCACTGGGAAGGAACTTATAAAGCCATACAAAGCATGAAATGAGGGCACGCGTGGACTTGGAAGGTGAGATGTGGCACGGAATCGGGAAAATATGTTTTACATTTGTGAAATGATCCTTAGGTGAAGCTTTTGTGACACATAGATCACCAGCTACAAAGTTTGCTATGACCTTCGGATCCTGGACATTTTAGTTTTTGCCTCATTCTGTGTTGTCAACTCTAGGATTTGTAGAGGGTTACACGGTGATGTTGGTTGTGTCTGGGTGCAAATCATGCCAGAAGACAAAGGCTCACAAGTGCACAAAGGGAAAAGTCCAAGAAACTGAAAAAACAATTGTGATCTGAGTCCTCCTTTGGGCACAGTTCCCCTCCAGTGTATCTGAAACAGCCCAGCATCTTTCTATTACTCTTCCCACTCTCCTTTCATCCTCACAATTTTATCTCCTGCCCAGTCCCCTTCAGTCCTTGCCTTGGCTTCTGTGTCATCATATGCTGAGACTGGAAGCTGAGTTGTCTTCAGGGTGATCCAGAGTTGAGATCATCATGGTTAGGGCCGTGAAAAATAGGGCTTCTGCAGCTCAATGCCAGAAATACTATTTAGCAGGTCTGGGAATCTTCATTTTTAACAAGGATCTGATTCTGATATTGGTGATCCTCACCCTGGTAGTCTTACGGTATCATTTTTTATAAAAAATAACCCAGGCTCTCAGCATAAGGCCGTAGAGCTCTGTGTGGAGAGCTCACAGCCTCCTAAACCACCACACAAGGACTTTTTAGTTCTTGAAAATTGGTTCCAGCTAAGGGGCTGGGAACATGTGGAGGACACTGGATTGACAGAGCTGCCACGTTGAGAGTGGCCCTGTGTTGCCTAGGATGAGTGGGCGCTCAGTGAAGGGATTCTGGGGTCCTTCCAGGCAAGCAGGATGTCAAGGGTTCTGAGCACTGACTGGAATCCCTGGGTATCATAGCTGAGTGTGGCAGTAAGAACCCATGCAAAGCATAGGTCAAGGTGAGCCCATCCACAGGGCCTAAGCACAGACTCAAAACCAGTTCCAATGCAAGTATTTTCCAAAAGAGGACATGCAACATGGGGCACTTGGGTCTTGAAGATAAACTCTGATTAGGTTTTTGAGGATCCTCAGTTAGGGAGGGCATCTTTTATAGAATACTGTATCCACCAGATAACTTCAACTATAAATAATGGAGAGTCCCAAATTGGCATAAATGAATTTCTTGGCTTACATCACTGGAGGTTCAGAGAGAAAGAGAGAGAGAGAGGGCTTCAAGGTGCTTAGTCCAGTGGTTCTAGCCCCATCCTGTGCTGTTCTATTGGTTCTCGCTTCCCTCATATCCTTTGGTAACTAGATGGCTATAGCTGTGAAATACTGCCCACCCAGTGCCCAGGGAAACAGGCAGGGGGATGCTTCTGGAAGCTCTCCAAGAAGAGGTCTAAAGGCCTTTACCCAGCTTTCCAGCAAATCACAAGCCAGAAAGCTGTGGTCACCCTTGGCTTAGTTCAGCTAAAGGAAGCTCAGTGTCTCCACTGCATGTGTGGTTCACGGTGGAGGCTAGAGATCTGAACAAAGCAGGAATGAGAAAGGAGTCAGGGAGAAATGCATCTAGATAAGCAGCCAGAATTATATACTACAGATTCCCACAATGTGAGGCTGTGTGGTGAGGCTATTGCTAAAGTGGCTGAGGCAATGCTATCAAGTCAGAGATAAGAGTGGGAGCCTTTGCCTCTGAGAGTTGTATGGACTTGCCCAAAGCACATAGCTAGTGACAAACAGACACAGATGGAGAAGCTCCCATGCTTGCTGTAATTCCCACTGTGCTCTATTTAGATTAATGTACATTGTAATTCTGCA